GGAGAGTTTACGAGTCGGGTAAAGTAGTCAGAAGGCCTCTGGAGAGGTGACTCTTAAGCCAAAGCTTAAGGATAGGAAACAGCAAAGACAAAGACTGGGACGGGGTGTCCCACAAACTGAAAAACCTAAAAAACGGCTTGCGCTATTGGAGCCCTTGAAAGGAGGCCAATGAGACCAGGGCAGTGCGAAATGAGAGGAGAAGGGAAGGTGGAGGGGTTGGAGAGTTAGGCCTTGACAGAGCATTGAGGCCTCTTCGTTATGGAAGGAAATGTGCTCTGTGTACTGATTGCAGTGAAAAGCCCCTTAGCTCCATTTCCCGGCCCCCTTCATTAGGGAAAACGCTTGAGGAGAAGAAAACGAGTCCAAGAACTGAGCCTTGGTGAACACAGACCTTTAAAAGTTGGAGGAAACTAAGAAGAAACACTAGAAGGTAGGAGAAAAACCAGGAGAATGTGGTGTCCCAGCAGAGAGGAGAATGGGGTGGAATTTTGATGATGTTCTAGAGAACACTGTATCAAAAGCAGACGCATACAGATAAATTGGACTTGGCAACAGGAAAACACTGATGGTCTTGCTCAAAGCAGATCATGCACTATATTTAATGTAAAATTAGATTGAAAGTAAAATGGAAAGGACATAGAGGTCAAAGCAGTTCATGTAAGAGGTTAGCATGTTGTCTAAGGTGGTAGCTACTAGCTATACGCTATTTTAATTCATTACATCAAGCAAAATTAAAAATTCAATTCCTGGGACCAGCAGTTAGCGTAATGGCTATGTCGCTGGACTCCCATGTAGCTGACTGCAGTTCGCGCCCTGGACCCGGTGGCTTAAAATTCACGCCGGGCACGTGTGCGTGCGTGCGTGCCCAAGATCCTGAGAGGAGAATGGATGAGAAGGGATTGCACCCTGGGGGGTGACTTCTCGCTTTCTGTCTCTCTGTCTCTCTCTGACTGTCTGGCGAGTGCATGCGCCCTATAGCAAAAACTTCTCAAAAAAAAAAAAAAATTCAATTCCTTGGCCCAGCAGGTCACGGAGTGGTGGTTAAGGCACTGGATTTTCACATGGTGCAACATGGTTCAATTCCCGGACCTCCAGCTTTAAAAAATTATGCCAGGAGCATGTGCCTTCTTGCTCCAGATCCCAGGACAGGAAAGGAAAAGGGATTCCATCATGGGCATCCCTCCTGGGGGGTTATTTTCTCACTTTCCCTCTCTGTCTAGATCTCTCTCCAGCAAGTGATGCACCCTCTAGCAAATTTTTAAAAAATATATAAATACCATCTTTACCATGCAGACTATACCAAGACAAACACCCATAGATTATAGTTTGTGGACCACTCGTGACCTAGCAGAATAGCTGTTGTTAAAATCCAACTGAAGCTCTGGGCCAGCAGGTGGCATGGAGATTAAGGTTCTGGATCACACATGGCCAGCTTCACGGTTGTGCATGGGTACCCAAAGTCTAGAAAAGAGAGTGGAAGAGAAGAGATTATGCTTCTGTCTCTCTGGTGATCACACGTGCCCTATAGGAAAAACTAAAAGTAAATAAATAAATAAAAACTAATCCAAGCTCAAAGGAAGGCTCCAAACCCCAGCTTCTGGGGAGGAAGAGTTAGGACATAGGCAGCCTAGAACAAGGACAATTGGTTCTACTGAGAGGAATAACAGGAGTATAAAAAAAAGGCCACATCAAAAAAATTGTGACTTTTCTGTTGTGTATATTCTGTGACTTTGCTATATCTCTTTTGATAATTAGAGTTGAAATATCTTACGGGCATGGGGTCTGTGGGAAAAGGGTCAGAGACGGGGCTGGCAGATTGCTTGGTGGTTGGGGCACTGGACTCCCACACGGCTGACCACGGTTCAAGTCCCGGACTCAAAGGCTTCCTCTCTCTCTTTCTCTTTCTCTGGCAAAACACATGTGAAAAAAAATAATAAATAAATACTTCTTTTAAAAAAGGGGGGGGTTCAGAGACAAAATGGCAGTCTGTTACTCTTTAATACAACACTACAGCTAAGGATTCCATGTGGGGATGTGGGTCCAAAACTTCCTGGTGTAAGTACTTACACCAATATGTAGTGATTTTTCTCTGTGTCTCCCTAGACAACTATGAGGACAGTAGGTTGCGTACTTCATGTACTGTACCTTTCCCATCATCTTGTACAGCCATGCTAGGCAACCAAAGTGAACATTTATGTGAGAAGATACTTAAAAAAAAAAAAAAAGTAAGACCAAGGTCCCATCTCTTTTTGAGAGATTTTTGCTATAGGCTATGTGCGTTTGCTGGAGAGACAGAGTGACAGAAAAAGAGAAATCACTCCCCAAGGGCCATGGCCATGCTGCATTCTTCTTCTCCATTCTTCTCTCAGGATCTTGGGCATGCACACATGGCACACACACACACCTGGTGTGAATTTTAAGCCTCCAGGCCCAGGACTCAAACTGTGGTCAACCATATAGAAGTCCAGCATCATAACCATTATGCCATCTGCTAGTCCCTCAAGATCACATCTCTGCCATGAGTTTCCAGGAAGTTATTTCCAGGAGATTGTCAACAAGGCTAGGCAAGAGAACAAGTTATTACTAGATGGCTAGTACACTGTACCATACTGTAGAGCTGCAAGCAGACCAGGAAGCCTGTCTTTAGCTGATCTTATAGCTTCTTTGCTCATCAACATTGCAAGTTTGGGTGGTTGGTTATGCCTACATTTGTCTGCAAAATTGACACATTAACTCAGCTTAGCGAAACATAATTTTTATTAATTTACTTATTTTTTTAAGTTGTCAGATGGTACATGTGTTTCACAGAGAGAGAGAAGGTGAGGGAGATGTTGTCAACAAGCTAGGCAAGAGAACATTTTATAACTGGATGGTTCTTTGAGCCTCTTCTGTTTATCTATTTCTATGTAATAAACCACCCTCAAAACGTAATGGCTAAAGAAAACAAGAAAGATTTATTTTACTTATGACCCACAGTTTGGACTGGGCCCAGTGAGGACATGCTCCATGGCTTCATCGGGGGCAGTTCAACTTGGGCTGGAGGATCTGTTTCCAAGGCGGCTTATTCAGATGGCTGGCAATTTCGTGTTGGCTGGGAGCTCAGCCAGGACCATGGGTTTCACCATGGTTTGCTTGGGTTTCTTTTTGCAATTTATGGCTGGGTTCCAAGGCTAAATGTTTCAAGGGATGGTGGTTTTAAAAACCTAGGCCCAGAAATAGCCACAGCAGTATTTCCACCAATTTCCAGTCAGCCAAGTACATAGCCCAGATTTCAGAAGAGGATATATAGGCCCCATTTCTTTCTTTCTTGTTTATTTTTTCTTCAGAAAAAGAGAGTGAAACAGACATTCAAGAAAGGGTCCTCATGCTACAGTCCACCCCAGCTTCAGCCAGCTTGGACCATGAGATTTGAACCCAGGACATGCTCAGGTGGGACTAGTTGCATAACTGCTGTACCATTGTCTGACCTCTCTATTTCTTAATGAGAGGAATATCAGAGAATTTTGGAACCATATTTTAAGGCTACTCCAGGGACCTGTGGTGCAATGGTTAAGCCTCATATCTAGGGAGCTGGATCCCACGTGGCCGACCATCCAAATCATGTCATAGACCTGATTCATATCAGAATCTAGGCCCATGTGACAAATCCTGACAGGATGGAGAAATGAAGGAAAAAGGATTGCAGTGTGACCGTGCCATGTTGGGGAATGTCCCCTCTTCTTTCTCTGGTGAGTACACATATAGTTAAAACAAACAAACAAAAAAGACTGCTATAGGTCCACCACTCTGTGGAAACTTAGCTTTAGTGAGCTGAGCTGGATCATATAGAGCTTAGAGAACTCTCTTGTGTAATCAAGGCAGGCTTAAATAATCTTCCTTCCCTCAAGAGACCTCCCTGGCCACACTACACCAGATATATGAGAGCACTAGGAAGAGAGACAAGCCAAGGGGTTAGAATTTCTCTTTTTCTTTTTTTTAGAGATTTTTGCTATAGAGTGCATACTCTTGCCAGACAGAAAGACAGAAACCAAAAAATCACCCCCCACGGGAGATGGTCACATCTCAATCCCTGCTCAACTATTCTACTCTTGGGATTTGGGGCATGCACACACATATGCCCAGCGTGAGTTTTAAGCCGCTAAGTCCGGGGCTTGAACCATAGTCAACTACGTGGGAGTCCAGCAACGTAACCATTATGCCATCTGCTGGTCCCGAGCTATATTTTTTAAATGATTATTTACTTTTAAATTCCATTTGTTATCATTTCTTTCTTTTTGCAGAGGTTTTTTGTTAAAGGTGTGTGCACTCGCCAGAGAGACAGAAAGCGAGAAATCACCTCCCCCACTCCCCCATAGATGGCCAAGAGCAATCCTTTCTCCTTCATTCTCCCCTTGGGATCCTGGGCGCACACACACAGCTTGAGCAGCTTGAGTTTAAGCCATTGGGTCCAGGACTCGAACCATGATCAATTACATGGGAGTCCAGTGACACAGCCATTACACCAACTGCTGGTCCCCCATCATTTCTTAATTTGACCAGACAAAGACAGAGAAAGGGAAAGCAAGAAAGCAAGTCGCCAGGTCTGGGGCCACGTGGGAATCCAGCACCTTTAACCACTATGCCACCTGTCCGCTCCCATCCCAAACTGTATTGTTTTTAAAAAGTGGATATAAAATTTAGCTCAGAAGTATAAATTGTGAAACAAAAAGTTGGGTCTGGAAAAAATTAGTATAGTATACAATAAGAGAACCAGGAAGAGAAGTAACCGATTCCAACTTCCCTGTTCCTTGTGATAACAATAGGTCTCTAATCCTCACAACCAACCTGTCAGCAGGCACCATCAGACTTCATAACATTCAACATTTATTTACCTGGTCTAACCATAAAGATTATGTTATGTGGGGCTGGCAGGTGGTGTGGTGGATAAGAGTGCTGGACTCCCACATGGCCGACTGTGGTTCAAGTCCCAGACCTGGCAGCTTCCTTTCTCACTTTCCCTCTCTCTCTCTCTCTTTCTCACTCTGTCCCTCTCTGGTCAAATTAAATAAATAAATGAATGAATAAATAAATAAATAAAATAAAGTTAAATAAAATACTTCTTAAAAAAAAAAAAGATTATGTTATGTGGACAAGGACTGAAAGGGAATAAGGAAAAACAACTGATATTAGTGTCTTAGTCCATCCTGGCTGCTATGCCAAAATTCTATAGACTGAATAACTTATAAACCACAGAAATTTATTTCTTATAGTTGTAGAGGCTGTGAAGTCCAAGATCAAGATACCAGCAGATTTGGTATTTAGTAGGGCTGGCTTTCTGGTTTATAGACAGTCATCTTCTTGCTACTTCAAGTGGAGTAAAGGAACAAGGGACCTCTCTGAGGGTTTCTGTTAAAAAGGCACCAGTCCTGGAGCCAGCAGGTGGCATGGTGCTTGGACCGCTGTCCCACATGGCCGACAGCAGTTCAAGTCCCAGACCTGGTGGCTTGCTTTCTCACTTTCTCTCTTTTTCTCGTTCTCTATGTTTCTAGTGAGTGTGTGTGCCCTATAACAAAATTTTTAAAAATAAAATAATAATAATTCTTTAAAAAATAATAAATAAAAAGGCACCAGCTCATTTATAAGAACTCCACGCTAATGATCTCACCTCTCAAAGGCCTCACCTCTACCATCACACTGGTGGGATGAAGGTTAGAATTTCAACATATGAATTTGGGAGATACACCAATATTCAGTCTATAGCAATTAAGGGTGTAGAATTTGGGGCCAATTTTTTTCCTTTACACCTTTTTTTCTTGTTGTAACATTAGTTATTTCACAAATTCATACAAGTGTTTAATACTCTGGAAGTGATTTTCTATGAAGCAAATTAAAGCACTTGAAATTTCATAACTAAGACTGGTAGTTTTTATTGTAGGGACCAATAACAATTCTGTAGTATCTTAATATGACATAAAAATAAACAGGGATCAAAGTATAGAATAGTATATATTCAATCTATTTAAATTGGCCTGCAATCTGACAATCATTGGTATTTGCATTATGTAATTACCTCTTGTAACCCAGATAAAATTGTACTTAACCTTGTTATGTGCTCTTTATGTGCTTTCAATTCCCCATACCATCCAGCTCAAAGTTTACTGTGTCCTTGGTATAGCATTTGTAGATTGTATTTCATTAAACTTATTCTCCAATTTAACAAATCAGTTCTCTTCATCTCTTTGAGTGTAGGGCAGTGTATTGTTCCTTTATTAATAATGTCAATTCTCAGTACACCTAGACCAATAATAATTTATGGATAGACTTTTTAATTAACTTTCACACTCATTATGCATTAACTCTTTTTTATGGTAATGAGTAATATGTAAATAAGGAAAATCAACCCCAAGAGAGATTAAATGGGAGAATTGGAGCTAGATCCTAAAGCTATTGCTTGTTGCATTATACCATAATTCTAAAAAGTATTAAAAGATATCTGGGGAAATAAGCTCTTTGGTCACTCCAAGCTCTCCTAAATATAAAGCTGAGTCATTCCAGTTCTCAAATGAAGTCAATTTTTACTTTTAATTCAAGTCAAAAAAGTATTTATGAATACTATTAAACATATAATCTGCTTAGAAGTCCAGTGGTAATAAAATGTTTAATTGAAGAGTTAGTGGTATTTGAGTTATTGTTATTCAGAAGGACATGCTATTTTAGTTGTTTGAAAGATTAGCATATGCTTCAACTCTTCCCTAGCCCCTTTCTTTTTTCTTGGTAGTAGAATTTACTTTTTAGAAGTTGTTGATTTATAGAAAGATTGAGAAAATAGTTATGTTACCATACCCCACAGTTTCCTCTGTTACTAACATATTAATATGGTACATTTGGCACAGTTAACAAACCAACATTGGTGCATTATTATTAACTAAGGTCTACAGTTTATTTAGACTTTTTTTTTTTTTTGAGAGAGGTTTTTTCGTTATAGGGCGCGTGCGCTCGCTAGACAGACAGAGAGAGACACAGAGACAGAAAGCGAGAAATCACCCTCCAAGGGATGGCCACACTGGAGGCCCTTCTCCTCCATTCTCCTCTCGGGATCTTGGGCATGCACGCACATGAGCCGGCGTGAGTTGTAAGCCACTGGGTCCAGGATGCGAACCGCGGTCGACTACGTGGGAATCCAGCGACATAGCCTTTATGCTAACTTCTGGTTCCCTTTAGACTTTTTTTTTTTTTAGCAGCTTGTAGTCCTGGCTAGTGCTATGTCTTGGAGGTATTTAGACATTTTTTTAAAAAAATTTTTCTAAAGAATTATTTAACTAACTAACTAACTTTCTTTCTTTCTTTTAATTTGACCAGAGAGGGACAGAGAGAGAGAGAGAGAGAGAGAGAGAGAGAGAGAAAGTAAGAAAGCACGCCTCCAGGTCTGGGACTTAAACCATAGTCAGCCATGTGGGAGCCCAATGCCCTTAACCACCACACCACCTGCTGGCCGCCCCTAGACTTTCCTAATTCTACAATTTTTTTCTTAGTAGCCAGAGGGCATGAGTGCTCCCTAGGGAGAATGTGCAGAGAAAGTGCCCCTCAATGGAGCATGGTCATGTCACAAAACTTTTTCCTCCATTTTTCTATCCTGTCATGATTTTGGACATGCACTCCCATGTACTCGGACCAGCCGGGACTCGAATCACGGGCCAGCCATATGGCAGCCAGCTTCCAATGCATAGCACTTAGTCATTACCTTACAGGAACGGCCCTGCTTAGCTGTCGTTAGTTTTTACCTTTTTTTTGTCTTTTTTATTATAGCTTATTATCCACGGTTCCAGCCATGCTACCACATTATAATATTTGTTATGTCTCTTTGGCTTTTCTTTGTTCAGGCAGTTTGACTTTTCTTTGTTTTTGATGATTTTAAGAGTTCCGAGGACTACAGGTCAAGGATTTTATAGGACCCCTTACTATTAGAATTTCTCTGTTGTTCTCAAGATAAGTCAGGGTTCTATGTTACTGAGCGGAGGACCACAGAGGTAAAGTGCTATTTTCATCACCTCATATCAAGTATTTATACTGTCAACACGATCTGTGCCTATTGTTGATGGCTGAAGTAGTGTTTGTTACATTTTTCCACTTACTCTTTCTTCCCCTTTTCTTTTTTTAAAGAATTATTTAATTTTAGGGAACCAGTAGTTAGCGTAATGGCTATGTCGCTGGACTCCCACGTAGTCGACCGTGGTTCGTGTCCCAGACCCGGTGGCTTAAAACTCACGCCGGGCGTGTGTGCATGCATGCCCAAGATCCCGAGAGGAGAATGGAGGAGAAGGGATTGTGGCATGGCCATCCCCTCTGGGGGGGTGATTTCTCGCTTTCTGTCTCTCTGGCAAGCGCACACGCCCTATAGCAAAAACCTCTCCAAAAAAAAAAAAAAAGAATTATTTAATTTTATTATTACTATTATTTTTTAATTTGACCAGAGACAGAGAGAAGGAAAGTGAGAAAGCAAGTCACTAGATCTGGGACTAGAACTACAGTCGGCTATGTAGGAGTCTAGCATCTTAACCACCACTCCACCTGCTGGCCTCTTCCCCTTCCTTTTCATATAGTATACTTTTGTTTTGTTTTTTTGTTTCTTTTTTTTTTTTTTTTTTTTTTGAGAGGTTTTTGCTATAGGGCGTGTGCGCTTGCCAGAGAGACAGAAAGCGAGAAATCACCCCCCCAGAGGGGATGGCCATGCCACAATCCCTTCTCCTCCATTCTCCTCTCAGGATCTTGGGCACGCACGCACACGCGCCCGGCGTGAGTTTAAGCCACCAGGTCCGGGACTCGAACCACAGTCGACTACGTGGGAGTCCAGCGACATAGCCATTATGCTAACTGCTAGTCCCTTCATACAGTATACTTTTAAAAGAAGAATATTCAAAGTATACACAGCTGACACCTAAGAAGTAGGGAATTATGTGTTATGCTCACCCCTTTTTGTCTGTCATCATCTTACATTTCTTTTCAAATATGTTTTTTAAAGAATTATTTTATTGAACTTTCTTTATTTATTTATTTTAATGTGACCAGAGAGGGACAGAGAGGGTAGGGGGTCAGTGAGAAAGCAAGCCTCCAGATCCAGGACTTGAACTGTGGCTGGCCATGTAGGAGTCCAGCTCCCTTAACCACCATGCCACCTGCTGGCTCCTCTTTCATGTATCTTAGCTTTAAAGAAAATAATATATAATGAAGGACCCACACAGTTGGTTTTTGTTTTTGTTTGTTTTTTTACATCCTTAGTTCAGTCTAGAATCAAATTCTATTGATTCGACCTTCGAAATATATCCAGAATCCAATAACTTCTCGCCACCATCAATCTCCTAAATTATTGCAGCAGCCTTCTAACTGGTCACCATGCTTCTGCTTTGCCACCTACAGTTTATTCTCATGTAGCAACTAGTGGTCCTTTTAAAACCTAAAATCAGGTTATGTCACTACTTCATTTAAAATTTTCCAGTGGTGGCCAGCCAGGTGGTATGGTGGTTAAGACACTGGATCCCACATGGCCAACTGCATGGTTCAAATCTCAGACCTGGCAGCCTGGAAAACACACCGGGGACCTGTGCGTATGCCCAGAATGCCAAGAGAATGGAGAAGGGATTGTGGTATAGCTATCCCCGCTTGGGATGTGCTTTCTCATTTTCTCTCTTTCCCCCATGAGTGCACACACCATATAGCAAATTAAAAACAAAAACAAAAACAAACTTCCAGGGGCTTCCCATCTAACTCAAGTGTATAGCCAAGTCCTTATTAGGGCCTATTTAAGGACCGATGTAATCTATCAACGCTCCTAACCAACCCCTTTCCACCTCAACGAATAGTCTTCTCACTCTGCTCAAGGCATGGTGGCCTCCTGTTCTTCATGGAAGATGCAAGGAAGCTCCAGCCTCAGGTCTTTGCACTTATTTTTTTTGAGAGGTTTCACTATAGGGCACGTGCGTTCGCCAGAAAGACAGAATGCGAGAAATAACCGCCCCCCCCAAAGGGATGGCCACACCGCAATCCCTTCTCCTCCATTCTCCTCTTGGTTTCTTGCTCAGGCATGCACACGTGCCCAGCATGAGTTTAAGCCATCAGGTCGGCTACATGGGAGTCCAGCGACATTACCATTACGCCAACTGCTGGTTCCCCCTGAGTAAGTTTTAAGCCACCAGACCATGATGTGAACCACAGTCAACTACATGGGAATCCAGCAATGAAACTGTTAATGTCATCTACTGGTCCCAATTAACTCACATTTTAATTCCACCTTTTCATAGACTTTTAAAAGTCTTCTCATATTTTTTGGCTAATTTGATCATTTTTCAGGGTAGTGTTTTCACTTATTCAAAAGGGTATATGCTTATTCCGAACAGGACAGCCTACAATTGCTGCTCAGATTTTTTTTTTTTTTTTTTTTACTTTATCTGTTTATTTTAGTTTGACTATAGCAGGACAGAGTGAGAGAGAGGGAAAGGGAGAAAGCAAGCCGCCAGGTCCAAGACTTGAACTGTGGTCATCCATGTGGGAATCCTTCGCCCTTAACTACCACACCACCTGCCGGCCTGCTACTCAGATTTTAAGATACTCCCACACTGCTTAAGAAACTAACAGTGGTCTCGAGCAGTCTAAGTGCCATTTCAAATCCTTACCCTACCTAGCTGTGGGACTTCTCTATTTCATCCCTTATTGTGTAGGGGTAACACTGTCTACTTTGGCTGTGCCTGATACTAGGATACTGAGGGAGAAGGCACAATTACATTAGCTGTGGAGATAACAAATATCATTAATATATATTTCATATATATGAAATGTCAATACTACTTTTAATACCAATACTAGTTGCATGTTATATTAGTAGTATAATCTTATGTCATATTCTTTTTTGCTCAACCACTAAGAATTTAAGTTTATTTTTCTTTCATGAGATTGAGACACACCCTCAACAGAGTCCTTACCAAGCCACAACCGCACCCTCCTCCGCCCACAGCCCTCCAGGCAGCCAGAATCAGAACGCAATCATGAGCATGACTCAGGTCCGGGATCCGAACGACGGTCTTCCACGTGGCTCCAGCAATCTCAGAGCAGCCCCCACGATCTGCCATCACAACAGCTGGATCTAAGAAAGAATATTTTTAAAAGCTTTTTGTGGTTGGATAGACAGTATGCTTAGGAAATCTGTTAGAAATCTAACTTATGTCCATTCGAGTAAACGGTTTGGGAGCTGTTTCCAAGGCCGCCCATTTTTACGGCAGAGCGGTGACCAGAATACCGAGCGAGCACTTCCGTCGGCCTCCATCGCTCTCTCCTAACACTTAACCCACTCAGGGCTTTTCATTGCGCGTGCGCAAGGCCCGCCCAACCCCGGAACCTAACCGTTGACCATAAGGATTTAAATCCACGGAATCCTGATCCTGGAGCGCCAGCAACGCCCTCGGTTCTCCCAAAGGGTCTGTGATTGGTCGAGCGTTAAACCGGTGCGGGGCTTTGATTGGCCAGCCTGTCCATACGTCACGGCGACTGTGCGTAATGCCTCCGGCACCGCCACCGCTCCCTGACTGGCGGGATTTCTGACCAGTCAGCTGGTGCGGCGCGACCTTCAGTTTCGCGAGCCTGTGTTTGCCGCCTCAGTTCCCGCGACCCCAACGTCCCGGAGGCGGGGCTGGTGTCTGCGGAGGCACTCCTTGCAGTTGGCCTGAGTTTCGGCCCAACAAACAGGCCCCGAGTTGGCGTAGGTTGTGGTGAGTGGGGTTTTGTGCATCTCGTTCCCCTCAAGGGGCGACAGCAGAGCCTGGGAAAGGGTGGCGGGTAGCATTCACGGTTCTGCGGTGGACTCAGCCCTCCTAGAGCCTGGAACCAGTGATGAGAAGGCGAGCTTAATGGGAGAAACTAAGCGGACCATGAATTGTTTGGGAATGTCTGTGCTAAAATCGGTGGGAGAGCTTTGCACACAATAACGTGCCAGTTAAAGTTGTTTGTACTGGGGGGAATTTCTTGAGAGCTGAAACCCTAAATGCTTGCTCTCGCATTCCTCACCATTTCTGGCTCAGGCTCTGCCACGTAGTCAGGGATCAGCTGTTTGTACTGCACAGTTGAAAATGCTGTGTATGTGAACATAAAAGCCGTAGTAACATCTCTTTGGTGTCCCGAGTTCACAGAGGAAGTCCGATTGCGAAGGATGGTGGAGGCTTACTAATGCCTTTCCTCAAAGTGGGTAGTTTGTGCAGTGACTGCAGATAGTTCAGTTTGACTGGGATGTAGGCTGAGTGGTGGGTGGGAGCTCAGGTTGGAGAAATAGGGTGGGGCCAGATTATTTTGTATATAAAGAAGAGCCAAAGACTCGAAGCGTGAGTAACTTGATCAAATTTAAATAGAAATACCCTTCTAGCAGCACCGTGGGAATTTTTCAGTCAATCTGGTGAGTGGATGAAGCAACCAACTAAGGTGGTGGAAAGATAAGTTTTTGAGGGATTGGGAAGCAGAATAGAGGATGACTTGATGGTTTACATTTAATACATGCTGATGTTATTATCCAAGGAGACTGTTTTGCTGGTTATAGGTTGTGTGACGTTAGCTTTATTAACTTTAATAGATTATGTAATACTGTTAGAATAAACTATTGTTTTAAAATGAGAAATGGGTCAACATGATCAATCTTTTCACCTTAATGCCGAAAGAAAGAGACAAATAGAGTAAACAAAAAATGGCACTTTATAATTTATATCTTGTAGAGTTAAACTTATCCATAACCAAGTGCTATAGAAAGGCTTTAGAGTTAAAAGCCTAGATGCCATAGAATCTGCTTTAAACCTTTGAAGTCCATAAACCTCTAAGAGGACTCTTTTTGTTTAAAGAAGGAGTTTTTAGTCAATCTTAGAAGGGTACTTTAAATAGGATTTTATTCTTGCAAGTATTTTCAGCCTTTGACTTTATCTAAAAAGTGTTCTAAGTGAGTTCTGCACCAGCTTTAATAATCCTTTCCTTCCTTAAAATGCTTCCGATAATTCCTTTTTGCTACAATAGAAACAATGTTCAGGGCCTAAAGAGCTTTAGTACTTAGAACTATTAGATCTGTGTTTTGCTTCAGTTGTATTTAGCTAGTGCTATGCAGTGGACAATTAGAAATAAAGGTTTGAAACTCAGAAGAGGGGTGGGAACTGAAGCTCTGCTGTATAAAGATAGTGTGGAAGCAGTGCAAGTGAATGAGAGTTCCCAGGAGAGCATGTGGAGCCCAAAAAAAGAAAGCTGATATTTCACTGACACAATTCAGTTTGTAGGGTTGCAGTATTTGCAGTCCTTTGTCACAAGATTGAAGATTTCTTAATGACTTCGTTACAAGCCCAGTAGATATCTAGCCCAAAATTGTTCCTTTATGCTACTTTGCGGTTTTTCTGAGGACTGTATGGCTTTTGGTCACAATTCCACATACTCCATTCACACATCACTAATGACGAGGATGCATTCCGAGGAATGTGTCATTAAAGTGATTTCATCCTTGTGCAAATATCGTAGAGTGTGCTTACACAAACCTATATGGTATCACTTACCTCGATAATATGGTAGAGACTGTATACTCCTTTGGGTCATTGTTGTATATGCAGTCCATTATTAATTGAAAAGTTACTATGTAGTGTGTCACAGTACTACCTGCCCTACCCAGGTCACTAAGTTGATACAATTATTTTGGGATTCCTCACCATTTCTGGCTCAGGCTCTGCCACGTTGTGAGAGATCAGCTGTTTGTACTGCACAGTTGAAAATGCTGTGTATGTGAACATAAAAGCCGTAGTAACATCTCTGTGGTGTCCCGAGTTCACAGAGGAAGTCCGATTGCGAAGGATGGTGGAGGCTTACTAATGCCTTTCCTCAAAGTGGGTAGTTTGTGCAGTGACTGCAGATAGTTCAGTTTGACTGGGATGTAGGCTGAGTGGTGGGTGGGAGCTCAGGTTGGAGAAATAGGGTGGGGCCAGATTATTTTGTATATAAAGAAGAGCCAAAGACTCGAAGCGTGAGTAACTTGATCAAATTTAAATAGAAATACCCTTCTAGCAGCACCGTGGGAATTTTTCAGTCAATCTGGTGAGTGGATGAAGCAACCAACTAAGGTGGTGGAAAGATAAGTTTTTGAGGGATTGGGAAGCAGAATAGAGGATGACTTGATGGTTTACATTTAATACATGCTGATGTTATTATCCAAGGAGACTGTTTTGCTGGTTATAGGTTGTGTGACGTTAGCTTTATTAACTTTAATAGATTATGTAATACTGTTAGAATAAACTATTGTTTTAAAATGAGAAATGGGTCAACATGATCAATCTTTTCACCTTAATGCCGAAAGAAAGAGACAAATAGAGTAAACAAAAAATGGCACTTTATAATTTATATCTTGTAGAGTTAAACTTATCCATAACCAAGTGCTATAGAAAGGCTTTAGAGTTAAAAGCCTAGATGCCATAGAATCTGCTTTAAACCTTTGAAGTCCATAAACCTCTAAGAGGACTCTTTTTGTTTAAAGAAGGAGTTTTTAGTCAATCTTAGAAGGGTACTTTAAATAGGATTTTATTCTTGCAAGTATTTTCAGCCTTTGACTTTATCTAAAAAGTGTTCTAAGTGAGTTCTGCACCAGCTTTAATAATCCTTTCCTTCCTTAAAATGCTTCCGATAATTCCTTTTTGCTACAATAGAAACAATGTTCAGGGCCTAAAGAGCTTTAGTACTTAGAACTATTAGATCTGTGTTTTGCTTCAGTTGTATTTAGCTAGTGCTATGCAGTGGACAATTAGAAATAAAGGTTTGAAACTCAGAAGAGGGGTGGGAACTGAAGCTCTGCTGTATAAAGATAGTGTGGAAGCAGTGCAAGTGAATGAGAGTTCCCAGGAGAGCATGTGGAGCCCAAAAAAAGAAAGCTGATATTTCACTGACACAATTCAGTTTGTAGGGTTGCAGTATTTGCAGTCCTTTGTCACAAGATTGAAGATTTCTTAATGACTTCGTTACAAGCCCAGTAGATATCTAGCCCAAAATTGTTCCTTTATGCTACTTTGCGGTTTTTCTGAGGACTGTATGGCTTTTGGTCACAATTCCACATACTCCATTCACACATCACTAATGACGAGGATGCATTCCGAGGAATGTGTCATTAAAGTGATTTCATCCTTGTGCAAATATCGTAGAGTGTGCTTACACAAACCTATATGGTATCACTTACCTCGATAATATGGTAGAGACTGTATACTCCTTTGGGTCATTGTTGTATATGCAGTCCATTATTAATTGAAAAGTTACTATGTAGTGTGTCACAGTACTACCTGCCCTACCCAGGTCACTAAGTTGATACAATTATTTTGGGCAGGATCTGTACTTTCCTTAGTGAAAAGATAGAGTATTAGATTTTGCTGTTCAGACTAAATATTAGTAAGGTTTTAAATTAAAATATAAGTATTCTCGATCTTAGCCAAAATGCTGAGAAGTGATTAAATGTAAAATTAACATTAATTTATAGGCAAAATGACTCTGAAGTATGAAAATTATCAGAATCTACAAGCCTTTGATCTTATTAGGTTGTTGGGCAATTAATGATGTATTTTTCTATGCAAAAATGCATTATGACTTTCCTGATGGATCCAATATTTGTCTATAATCACACTAATTTTGCCTGTAATTTTGTTAATATATGGTTAAATTATGGTTCTTATTCTTTCATCATTCATTAGTCTCTTTATTTCTATAGGATACTGAGGAACAAAATTAGATGAGTAATTCACCAAATGTGATGGAGCCTATATATCCTCTTGCAAGGGCCCAGATGAAAACCAGGTAAAGAATGTTTTTTGGACCCAGATGGTGGTGTAGTGGTAAAATGCAATGCTCTGCAGGCAATGCCATGCAGGAATGTTCCTGGTTCATATCTGGAGGCCTCCCTGAGTATGCCAGGCACATGCTTGCCCATGATTTGGTGCTGGCTGAAGATGGCAGTGGGAGTGGGAGCATCGTGATTTTGTTGTAGGTGCTCTCTCTCTTTCTCTCTATCTGTGTCTCTTTGTCTCTCTCACTCGTGAAGTAGATAAATATTTTTTAAATTATTTTGTTCAATTTTATTTATTCGTGCCTTCATTTTAATTTAACCAGAGAGCGAGAAAGTGAGCCACCAGGTCCGGGACTTGAACTGTGGTTGGCCATGTGGGAGTGTCCAGTATCTTAACCACCATGCCACCTGCTGATCCTGTAAATAAATATTTTAAAAAGTATTTTTTCATAGCTGTTCACATAAGGTAGTGTGGAAAGGAAGAAACATAATCTGTTTTTTTGGTTTTTTGGGTTTTTTGTTTTGTTTTTTGGCAGAGGTTTTCGCTATAGGGCATGTGCGCTTGCCAGAAAGACAGAGAGAGAAAGAGAGATAGAAAGCAAGAAATCACCCCCCAGGGGGGATGGCCACACTGCAATCCCTTCTCCTTCATTCTCCTCTTGGGATCTTGGGCATGCGCCCGCTGTGAGTTTAAGCCGCCGGGTCCAGGACTTGTCGACTACACAGGAGTCCAGTGACGTAGCCATTACGCTAACTGCTGGTCCCTTTTTTTTTTTTTTTTTTTTTTTTTTAAGAGTGATTTTTGCCATAACTCTATAGCATGTGCTCGCCAGAAAGACAGAAAGCAAGAAATCAGCCTCCCAGGGAGGATTGCCACACCACAATCCCTTACCCCCGCTCTCCTCTTGGGATTTTGGACGTTCACGCACACATGACCGGCGTGATTTTCAAGCTGCTGGGTCCGGGATTCGAACCACAGTCAATAGAAGTCTAGTGACATAACCATTACACCATCTGCTGGTTCTGATAATCTTTAGAATCAGGAAAATATGGGTCCATGTTTCATTTCTATCATTTATTAGGTGGGTAACAGTGATCAAGTTACTCAACGAAGCCTCAGTTTCTCATCTATACAATGGGGATGATAATCTCTGTGTAACAGAAGATAATTGTGAAGGATTGAATAAGATTGCTAAAGGGTTCAAGGCCAGCCTTGGGGCTTGGTGGTTAAGGGAGCTGGATCCCACATGGCTGACCATGGTTTGAATCCTAACCCTAGCAGCTTGACAAAGATGCTGAGTGCAAATGCCCCAAATCCTGACACGATGATGAAATGGAAGAGAAGAGGTTGAATCATGACTGTATCCCACTGAGGCTTGCTTTCTCTCTTCCCTTTCACTCTGTCTCTTTCTCTGGCAAGCACATGCACCCTCTGGCAAAAATTTTTTTAAAAAGATTACTAAAGGGTCTGGTACGTCGTAGACACTTAGTAAATATTAATTCTCTTCCTCTTTTTACTTAGTTACACAGCGTATCTTTTTTTTTTTTTCTTAAAGAGAGGTTTTTGCTATAGGGTGTGTGTGTTCACCAGAGAGATAAAGACAGAAAGCAAGAAATCACCCAATGGGGGGATGGTCATGCCATTCAGTCTTCTCTCGAGATTTTGGGCATGCATACACATGTGCCTGGCTTGAGTTAAGTCACCGGGTCCAGGATTCAAACTGTGGTCAACTATGTAGGAGTCCTGCAAGGTAACCATTACGCCGTCTGCTGGTCTCTATTGATGGGATATAGTGCCAAATTCCTAAGTCTTAAAAATTATGTGGGTGTGGGACCAGCAGGTTGCCGAGTTGTGAAGGTATTGGACTCATGTGGCCGACAGTGATCCTTCAAGTTTAGACCCCACAGCTTGAAACTCACTCTAGGCACATAGTGTCTGTGCCCAAAATCCCCAGAGGAAAATGGAGAAGGGATTGTGGGGTGGCTATCCCCCCTGGAGGTGATTGTCTCTATGAGGTGCGCATGTGCCCTATAGCAAAAATCTCTCAAAAAATTTGCATACATGTACCTAGGAAAGGGGTTAGGTTTCTTTTCTCTACCAAACACTAATGTCTTGATGGTAAAAATTCCACATTAGGTAAGCCAGGTTTCCTGAAATGTCCCTTAACCGTTCCCACTCATGTGGAATAGGAAGGAGGAGCTTGCCACCTGTCTTGTAATTTTCTCAGTCTGTAGTTGGTATAGGGATTAGGCAGATTGGCTTGCGTTATTTGATTCTTTGGATCATTATTTCCCTTTTTTCTCTAGGGATGAGCAATTAATGCTGGTGTGAATTTTTTTTTTTTCAAACTATAATTGCATCTGTGAGGCACCTTTATGTCCTTTGTTTTGTCTAACTTTGTGCCAGATGTTCGTGATGAAGACAATGGGAATTATGACCCAAGGAGGCGATCGTATCATATATATTTTTGCATTTAATTTTGACCCTCTCTTGTACCACACTGCCACCTCTTATTCTTTGAAAAATCTGTCAACTTCTGCTCTTTGAAAAGTACAATTGTGTAACAAGGTCAGCATATTCCTTTTTATTATCAGATTGACCATGGGATCAGATTCACTTCTTGCATGGTAGGTAGGCTCATGTAATTTGAACTGTTTATTCCCACTATATTCAACTCTAGTTTCTTTTTTATTAGAGGGTTTTTTTGTTTGTTTTTGTTTTGTTTTGTTTTGTTTTTGCTATAGGGCACGTGCGCTCGCCAGACAGACAGAGACATACAGAAAGTGAGAAATCACCCCCCAGGGGGGATGGCCACGCCCCAATCCCTTCTCCATTCTCCTCTCAGGATCTTGGGCACGCATGCACACGCGACCTGCGTGAGTTTTAAGCCACTGGGTCCGGGACGTGAACCACGGTTGACTACATGGAGTCCAGTAACATAGCCATTACGCTAACTGCTGGTCTCAACTCTAGTTTCTTTTACTCATTTAGTGATCTGGGTTTCAGTAATCTCTGGGTCTGGAGGGAACAGTTCTGACTAGAGTGTGGGGATAGAGGTGGGTTGTAGAGAGTATCTTTTGGGGGAATGATACAAACCCCACTGAATAGCTGATAAGAGCTGTGTACCTCATGTCTTAGGAAAAAGCACTTAGGTGCGTGGATACAAAATTTTGCACTCAATTTTCTTGGACAAGTTTCAGTTTGTTTTACCCTTGTCTCCAAAGTCTACCTGTGTATTCCAGATTTTAAAAAAGGCTAGCAAATTTACTTATTGAAGTCTTAACTATATCCCAGTAGGAGGTCAAGTACATAAACATGTCAAGTTCTGTGCTAAGCACTTCGTATGTATTTTTATTTAATCTTCCATATCAACCTATGAGATAAGTACTATTATCTATTTTTTCTTTTAATGAGGAAACTAACACAGAGAGGCTAAGCAACCCAAGGTCACACATTTAGTTAGTGGTATTGCCAGGACTGAAACCTGCCTTGGCTTGTGCACTGTACTGCTGAGGAAGTAAACCGTAAGTAGTGTAGGTTATACTTTAAAGGTATCGTGGATATTGGGAGTGAAAACAAAATAGCTATCATTGAGCTCTTACAGTGTAATAGATTTGGTTTCTGTGGGGGGTGGGCTAGAGGGTATGTGCTCTTACTAGTGAGAGACAGAGAAAGGGAAGGGATAAAGCAAACCTCATGGGGATTGGTCACACTGCAGTCCCTCTCCTCCATCTCTCTTTCCTTTTGGGATTTTTGGGTTTGTATGCACATGTATGTTTCAAGCTGTCCAGTCCAGGATTCAAACCACAGGATTGTTCTTATGGGATCTGGCTGCCTTTATTACTAGGTCGTGAGGCCGATCCAGAATTAGAAATGTTTTAAGCACTTTAAATTTATTGGCTTATTTAATATTCAACATAACTCTAAAAGAAGGTCCTAATACCCTATTTAACAAATGGGGAACTAAGGCAAAGAAAAGTAACTAACTTCATCAAGGTCACACAACTAGTACATTTTGAATGCAGGTTTTAGACCCCAGCAGTTGATTTTCAGTCTTCTTCCTTTTTTTCCTTTTTTTGGAGAGGTTTTTCACTATAGGGCGTGTGTGCTCGCCAGAAAGACAGAGATAGAAAGCGAGAAATCACCCCCTGGGGGGATGGCCACGCTGTAATCCCTTCTCCATTCTCCTCTCGGGATCTTGGGCACGCACGCACGCACACGCACCTGGCATGAGTTTAAGCCACCTGGTCAGGGACACAAACCACGGTCAACTACATGGGAGTCCAGCGACATAGCCATTACGCCAACTGCTGGTCCCCCATCAGTCTCCTTCCTTTTAAAAACTCCGTTACTGCCTTTCACTGATCAGTAAATGGCTATATTAAATAAGCAAGTAAACTAACAGTTTTGTCACTAGCTTTCTGGCTTGGATCAAATTTCTTAATCTCAGGTCATCCTTCTCTCATAAGGGGAGGAAATCCTTCATATGGGCATTATGAGCTCAAACTAGACAAGGATTTGAAAACACACAGCACGAATGGAGCACCCAGGGGAGCCAGAATGCAAACCCAAGCTCTAAACCACTGCACCATTCACCTAGAAGTATTGGCTTTGAAATCAGACACATTAAGATTCAAATCCAGCTCTGCTATGTAATTTCTATATAGAATTAGGAAAATTCATTTGTTATCCATAAAGTGGGTAATAAATGGTTCTAGAACATTTTATTGAGAAATATTATACACGTAAAGTGCCCAGTAAAATGTCTAAGACATAGGAGATGGTCAATAAATAGGGCTAGAATTTTAGTTGAGAAGGTTTATCAGATGATACATGAAAATAGGATCTACTAATAGAACAAGTTTTTTTTGTTTGTTTGTTTGTTTTGAGAGGTTTTTGCTGTAGGGCACGTGCGCTCACCAGAAAGACAGAGACAGACAGAAAGTGAGAAATCACCCCCCAGGGGGGATGGCCATGCTGCAATCCCTTCTCCTCCATTCTCCTCTCAGGATCTTGGGCACACATGCACATGCACCCGGCTGTTTAAGCTGCTGGGTCCAGGACTCGAACCATGGTCGACTACATGGGGTCCGGTGTCATAGCCATTCCACTAACTGCTAGTCCCAAGAGGTTTTTGCTATAGGGTACGTGCGCACGCCAGAAAGACAGAAAAAGACAGAAAGCGAAGTCACCCCCCCACCCCCCAGTTGGGGATAGCCACACCACAATCCCTTCTCCTCTCAATGTGCCTGGCGTGAGTTTAAGCCATTGGGTCCAGGATTCAAACTGCAGCAGACTATATGGGAGTCCAGCAACATAGCTGATAGGCCAACTGCTGGTCCCAGAACAAGATGCTCTTACATGATTTATATGATAAATATTCTTTCAGCTCAACTATTTCTTAGTCTGCTGTGATGCAGCAAATGTGTTGTTGTGGGTAGTGTACTGAAAGAGCTTTCTCTGATTACATGCAACTTCTGCTTTTTTATTTTTGGGTATAAGTACATGTGGTCACCTGAGAAGGCTGAGAGGGAAAGTGAGAAAACATTGCCTGAAGGGGTGGGATGGCCACAGTTTTATGTCTTCACTCCATCTTCTCTCAGGATTTCTGGATACATACACTCCCAACATGTTTCTCAAGCCTAGAACTTGAACTGCACAGTTGGCCCTGTGGATCCAGTCATCTTAACCACCTGCTGGCCCCATCGTCTTGTACTTAGTTTTCACATGTTACTTGTTATGTGAAATGGAAACTTTTTGATGATATTCTATATCATTTAACATTGAAACTTTGCTTTACATTGTCCCTGGGATCTTTCTTGAGGAATTGGTTATAATGATGTCCTTTTGATACTTCAATAATTAAACCTGTTAGTGATGAGGCTTAAGATACCAAATTTGCAAACTGAAAATAATCATGATTATACATTTTGTTAATTATTTATTTCATTTTATTTATTCATTCATTTATATTTTAGTTTTGACCAGAGAGAGACAGAGGATGAGAGTGAGAGAGAGAGGAAGTGAGAAAGCAAGCCACCAGATCCAGGACTTGAACCCTGGTTGGCCATGTGGGAGTGTCCAGTGCCTTAACCACCACACCACCTGCTGGTCCCTATGATTATACATTTTTGAGCTTGAAATTATTTAACTGGGTATTATCTAGCATATTTCTAGAAATGAGTTTAGTAACACAGATTTCAGTTTTAAATTTAATTGTAAATTCACGTTTTACACCAACTTTTGTGTTATTTAAGGGGAATTTTACAGGATTAATCATTAGTTGTTTTTTAACTTTATTCATTTGTTTATTTCAATTTAATTAGAGAGACAGAGTGAGAGAGAGAAAGTGAGAAAGCAAGCTAGCGGTCCGGGACTCAAACCATGGTTGGCCGTGTGAGAATCCAGCACCTTTAACCACCACACCACCTGCCGACCCCTCATTAGTTCTTCTTAAGAAACTTGTGTGCATATTAATTTATGTATGCATAGGAAAAGGACAAAAAAAGACATCACCAAGTTTTGAGTGCTTTTTTTCTAATAGTATAGTTTAGAGGCGATTTTTTCCTCCTTTTTTCTTTACTTTTTAAATTTTCTATAAGGTTCATGTACTTGCCGGAGACAGAGACAGACAGAGAGAGAGAGAGAGAAAGAGAGAGCACCTCCTAGGGGGGTGGCCATGCCATAATCCTTTTCTTCTGTTCTCCTCTTCGGATTTTGGGCACACAGACACACACATCCATTGTGTTTTTCAAACTACAAGATTGAGACTCGAACGGTGTAGGTAGCCATGTGAGCTCCAAACGCTTTAACTATCATATCGTTAGCTGGGCCCAAAATTATTATTACATTTTTAACTCTTCTAAAATTGTAAAAGAAATTTTAAATACAGTTGTTGACTGTTAACAAAATTTCAGTCAAATTTGTTTTTCCTTGCGCTTTAATTTTTAAATTTTTTTTGAAGGTTTTCTTCAAGCAAGATGGTACCTTTCTACTTTCCTCCATCAAAATGTGCACTTTGGAACCCAGTACCAATTGGAGATTTCATCTACTTACATCTCAATTACTACAGGTGGTAAATCTTTTTTTTTTTTTTTTTTTTTTTCTTTCAATTGCTGGACTTAATAGTCTGGCTGTAATTATCCTTTAACTGGGTCATTTCACAATTACTGATTCAACTCCCATAAGGAAGAGAGGAAAGAAACAGGAAGTCTAGCTCACTCCCTTCTCCGCCATTCTTTTCTCAGGATCTTGGGCATGCATCCACATGTGCCCGGCGTGAATTTAAGCCACTGGGTCCAGGACTCAAACCACGGTTGAGTACATGGGAGTCCAGCTACATAGCCATTATGCCAACTGCTGGTCCCTACAGATATTAAATCTTTCTCTTTTGAATAACCAGCATAAATAGGATTCATAAAAGGATGTATGAATGTTTACTATTATAACTTAGTTTATTTTTTTCATTCAGAAATTTCCCTTAGAAAAAATATTTCTTTTTAAATTTGTTTCTCATGCATTTGAGAAATAATATAGATTTCACAGTTAAAATATTCTGCAAATAGGTGCCAGCAGATGGGTTAGCAGTTACATCTCTGGAATCCCACATAGCCGGCCACAGTTCGAGTTCCAGACCCTGTGGCTTGAAGCTCACTCTGGGCACATGTGCGTGCTTGTCCAAGATCCTGGGAGAAGGATGGAGGAGAAGGGATTACCTCATGGCCATCCTCTGTGGGGGTGATTTCTCACTTTCCTTCTCAATACAAAACATAATAAAAATGCAAAACAGTTTTCATTATCCTTCAGCTTGATATAATTCTAGAACATTGATAGAACTGAACTGATATGAGTGGAGCACATTAGGAGACATGAGACATGGTTATATGTTCAGGACCTTTGAAGAAAAGTATAGAAATTTAGGCTTAAATCAATGGAAAATAGATCCATTGAGATTTGTATAAGAGGGAGTTACTTGTTAAAAGCTGTATTCTATTTGTTTTTGTTTTTCTTTTGTTTTGGTTTTGGATTTGCTATTTACATTCACCAGAGAGAGATCAAGAAAGCACCACACGGGAGGATGGCCACACCACAATCCCTTCTCCATTCTCCTCTCAGGATTTTAGGCATGAACATACATGGGCCTGATATGTTTTTCAAGCCACCAGGTCCAGGACTCAAACCATGCTACTATCCTTGGAATCCAACCAGTAACATAGTGGTTAAGCTGGTCCACATGTGACTTTTTCTGTTTTATTTATAAAAATAAGATACCAGCCTCATAGTTGGATGACTCCTGGTCTGGATCATAAAGTTAAGCAAATGCCTGGAGAGCAATTATAGCTTCAGTGTCTGCGTTCCGCCATTCTGGTTTCCAGGTGGTCCTCTCTACTCCCTGCCTTTGACACTGAGTTTTTTCAATAACATTATTTTTGTTGCATTTTATTTTATTTTTTAAAAATTATCAGTTAATTTTGGGACCAGTGGGTGGCGTGGTGATTAGGGGGCTGGACCTGGCAGCTTTCTTTCTCTCTAATTCTGTCACTGTTTGGTCAAATTTTAAGAAATAAATAATGAATAAATAAATGAAAGTTAAGTAAAATGATTCTTTAAAAAATTATTGTTATTGGGACTAGTAATTGGTGTAATGGCTATGTTACTAGAATCTCACGTAGTCGACCGTGGTTCAAGTCCCAGACCCGGTGGCTTAAACTCACGCTGGACACGTGTGCATGCGTGCCCAAGATCCCAAGAGAAGAATGGATTGCGGCGTGGCCATCCCCCACCGTGGGGTGATTTCTCACTTTCTGTCTCAGTCTCTTTCTTTCTTTTTTTTTTTTGGTTTTTTTTTTTGTGTGTTTTCTTGGAGAGGTTTTCGCTATAGGGTGCGTGCGCTCGCCAGACAGACAGAGAGAGACAGAGAGACAGAAAGACAGAAAGCGAGAAATCACCCCCCAGGGGGGATGGTCACGC